GTAATTAAGAATCAGAGAATTTTTTTTGAAGTACTGTATTTGATTATTTGTCCACTAGCAGAAATATTTATTAAGTGCACTATGATATAACTATTCTAAGTTAAAGACAATTTAAGACACAAAACCCAGTAAATAAAGCTGATCAATATTTGTTTTTTTTAAAGAGGAAGCTCCTTTCAAAATGTATCACAAATGTACTTCTCGTAATCAAAGCAGAATAAGTAATAGTTTTATTCCATGCTGAAAAAAAGAAGAAAGAGAACACAACGTTTCGGTCGTGGAGCCTGAACGACCGAAACGTTGTGTTCTCTTTCTTCTTTTTTTCAGCATGGAATAAACCTATTACTTGTTCCTTTGAAGCCTATGAATGCTGACGCAGCTACCCACCATCAAAGCAGAATGTAAAGCAACCAACATCGCGTTACATTGTCACATTGTTTATTTTCTAAAACGAAAAGCTTTTTTGGTAAGAAAAATACTGAGATCCTAGGACGCCATGCATGATCACAATTTAACGGTAGTACGAGGCAAGAAACACACATGTACACACTTTACAAAAAAACAACAAGAATCGACTTGATGAGGGAGAGAGAGAGCCCTCGTTGGCAACATGCGAACTCCAAACATAAGGCAGTCATTTCCGGCATCGAACCCAGGACTCAAGCTGTACAGTAGCAGTGTAACCATTGAAAACCAAAGGAAAATAACTGATTATTTCATGCAGATATTTTATTTGTGACGTTTTGTGTGAAAATATAACGTCACATATTGTGACTTGACGATATGTTCGTTTTCAAATAAAGTGAATGCATTCGCATAAAACAGAAGTTCTCTAAACAGTGAAAAGCTGTAAAGGACTACACTGAAACTCAGAAACATGATCAAAGTGAAGAAGAGCGCTACCATTCTAGTTATTTACTAGAATAAAATGTATTGATAATTTGCCTAATTTATTTTGCTCTAACTTGAATTAACAAAGGAGTCCGAGACGTCCGGATATGTAGAATCTGAACGATTTGAGAGAGCCTTTCACTGAGAGCGGAAAATCGGACGCAGAGAAGATAAATGCTCCTGAGGGTTAAGGCATTCACAATTGCTGCTCGCTTTGAAAATTTGGTAATTCACTCTAGAATTGTAGTCCATTAATCCACGTTTTAAAATAAGAATTATAACAATAACGGTAATTATTCAGGATAAATTGCATGGTCCTGTAGATACAATTTAAAGGGCAGGTATTATTTAATACTGTGCTTACAAGTATTATAGGGTTCTTCAAATAGCCATCATTATCAGGTCTATATTCCAGCAGGCGGCACTATAAACTGAACACTCTCCAGGGACTTTAGGGAGTATTCAATAAATTTATGAATCATGTCAAAACTGCGTGACCGTAGTACAGTATCCATGGGAATTATCCGTCGGCTGAGTTACATAAAGTGTGACACTGGAAAGTTAAAAACCGAAGGAACCTCGTTTGGGAAGCACATACAGCGCACAGCCCCAAGGTGAGAAGTATTCTTCATTATTTTCATTTGGTTGTTTTGGGTAAAACGAATGCATTACTATGGAGTACAAGTAAGGTGAAATTATTAACATTATTCCTGCTTTTAATATGAATAGTGACAACTTAAAAACACCAGATTTCAGTAGGCTTTAGCACGTTTACTGCTGAAGACGTTCGTCTAAATCTTTCGGGTCAGAATATTATTTAGAATATGTTAGGGAAATCTACATAAATTTAAATTGATACTGTTCATATTTAAAGATTCTGAGACGCAGTTAGATTTCTATATGGGATGTGTATTATGTATTTCCTATAGGGGTACGTTGGTTTGGAAATTCAACCATTAAACCGTTACATCTTACATCAAAAGTTAGTACAGTTGTTATCAGTACTGAGTTGATATTATGCTGTGATGTTTTTTCATTATCTTGGGAGATGTTTTGGAAAGGCTTTTTTTACTTACGTGCATTCATTTCTATATTTACTTAAACTAAGAGGCGAATGTCATTTTTCATTTATAATCAATATTTAAAAGCAAATCTTTAAAAATGATTAAGGTATGGTAAATTCAGCAATATACGATAAGAAATTTCAAAAGTTTAAAGCAATGAAACCTTTAGGAAAATCCATTAAAATATGCGCAATATCTAAATAAAGCTATCCCTAATAATAACGGTTGTTTAATCATCATGAAACAATAATAAAATTTGGAATGAATACAGAATGTTTACTTTACATACTGAGAAAAGGTATCTTTTCTTGAGAAATTCCTTTTCAATACCTGTATAGATTGGACAACTCCTATAAGTTCAAAGAGAATTGTTTTGCTTAATCGTTCACTCTTGCAAAAGATCAGCCTGCGTTTGGGAAGAGCGCTTTTTAGCTTATTGATCTGGTCGATAAGCGATTAATAAAGCTTTACCTTCTCTATCCCCCTAATTTTGTAGACCTAACATGAACAGATTCCTGCTGCTTCTAGCTGCAGTTGTAGTTTGCCAGCAACGAACAATGGGAAAACCGCTAAGCGGAAGTTCACCCGCTGAGCAGTTCCAGAATTCAGGTGAGTTGAATACTAAACTCAAGTTCTGCCTATGCTCATTTAAGATGTTTTTTTTAAGAATCCGTGGATAAATGTAGGGACACACAAGCGCATATAATTTGACAGATGCATCAATCTTTAAGATGAACAGGGCGACTGAGTAGTGATTTATGCACAAAATGTTAGATGTATATGGATCTTTTTTTTCGTATTTTCTTTTTCTTTTCTTATTCCTCACTCCACATAAATAGAGGGCTGTCATTTTAGTGACAGAATTGAATTGCTTTTATGATACACGGTGTTTCGATTGTTGTTAATGAGCACCTGTGCACGCAGCCAGCACACCTGCCGGTCTCGGAAGCCTGCCCCACCTGGCGGTGAGGGAGGTTGAAGGTCCAAATTCGGCAGACCAGGCGAGTCTCTGCTACTTTGTCCAAGAGAGCGAAGTGGAGAGTCAGATCTCCTGCAAACTCCGTTTCACCCGGAGTAAATTTAACTTCAATCCGTTTGGACTTCGCTTCGGAAAGCGCAACAGGAATATCGTGGCCAACGACAGGAGCGCTATACCCAGTGAGCTGTTGCTTTACCTGCTGTACCTCAAAGAGACGGGCCTGGCCCCTTGACTGGGCGACTGTGGATTGAAAGTTTTCATCCTGTTATTGGAATGGTGTTTTTTTTTTATGATTACCGAGTTCTTAAATATATTTCTGAATGTTAGAAATGACAGTTTCACAATGGACTAAAGAAAAAAAACAGTAAATCTCACTGTTCAGCCGAAAGTCATTATATATTTATTAGACTTGTTCAAGTTTGTACAGAGGCATTAGAACATTCTCATTGAGATGACTTGAGTTCTTGACTTTATTTTTTATTCAATGGGTGTCTCAATACATGTTATATAAGTTCCCTTTTAGTTTCTGAAGGTATTCAATAATCACAACGTTGTTAAAGACATTGTATTTAAAAGTACCAATGCTTATTTGTTGTATTAAGTGAATAAATGTGCAAACAGGTTTAACTTCATTTTCAGAATTTTTTTGAAAAGTTGTCTACTTTTGTTTCTGTGCATATGAAGCATCAAAATAAATATTGCTCATAATAGCAACAAATTCATGTTATCAGAAAAAAACAGCATAATTTTTGGAGAAGGCTTTATTGAAGACATGACAGGTACTGTATGATTAACACTTCAACTGGGTGTCTACTGTAAAAGTTCCAGGTTGAAAGTGTATATAGCCCTTGTTGGAAACGGTACAAGCTGTACATCTGAGATGCATTTTTTGTGGCAGATTGCAGGTACTGCCTCAGGGGATTCTGCTCCAGTTGTATCACAGAGGCTGGACAAATGCGCAATAAATGTAATGAATTTTACAGGTTCGGTAGGGAGAAGGAGAGAGACTTTAGGATATCACATTCTTAAGTGATCAATACACAGTTCAACTCTACTGAATAAGGCATCCATTGCACCTTCTCATCTTGCTCTCAAGGAATGTTGTCACATCACGGACGCTGACAGAAGGGCAGCAAGTGAGGTCGCAGGGCTCAAGCAATATAGGACCAGGCCATCATGTCTCACTAGATGAGGTGTTACAGCATCTATACACTTACCCAAATGACCAACATTGAGCATGAGGTGCTGCAACCTAGGGTACAACACTTGTGTATTAAGCAACATTTTGCTAGGTAAGAATTTGGCTGTACAAACTCCAGCCACCCAATTACAGGACACCTCATCTCTGTTCATGGCTACATATCATTGTGCCCAATAAGTTTGGGAAGTAATCATGGCGAGTCAGTTACACCAAAATAATTTAAGCAAAAAATGTTATGGATCAGTATAATCAAGTCTAAAAAAAACCTCAAAGTATGCAGATGGGTCTTAAGACAATCTGTGGGCTGATGTGAGGAGTTTGCACTTTAAAACTGCAGTCAACCAATGGGAATCAAAACTAGGTAATGTAGTACATAGCATGAGGTACTAAAACTCACATTTAAAGTTAACTGTATATTCTCCACATTTTGGCTCTTAAATCCTTTGCTGTAATCTAAACCTTTATAGGCTTTATCCTCCAAATCCCACTGCATTGATGAGCACAGCAGTTACCTACTTTTCAGCAATAAAGCTTTAGACCTGGAATACAGTTTTCTTAGTTTACCACTGAAATGAAATTTCTCATGTGCATAAAAATGTACATGCTAGCTTTATGGTTCAAATACTGGTTTCTTTGATTCTTAATGTTTCTTTAAGTCTAACCTACTATAACAGCCTGAAAAAAAAAAGGCAATAGCTTTCTTGCACATTCAATGTTATTCAATTGAAACAGTTTTGACAAACGTTTAAGAGGTTAGAAAGTTGACTAAAATGTCAGGGTGCAATATTCAGTTAACGTTACCTTGTATACTAGCACCATATTTTAGAGAAACATCTTCTACCCACCAGGGGGAGCTGCTATCATTGTAGATATTTCCAAGACAACCCAAGAATAGATTAGTGCACACCATTTCAGCCGATTTTTTTTTTTTAAAAAGGCAGCCAGAAGACTTAATCAGACTATGCACTTTATTTCTCGTTTTTCAATCCATGAAAAGTGTAACAAGTATTTCAGGGTACTTAATCAATCCTTCATCTACAATATTAACTTTTTCGACTGTTGAGTTTTGAAGCCAGTCAGGACTGAAAAACTGACTAAAGAGCCCTTTGTGTGCGTTTCTGGAATGGCTGGTTCCCTCGATCGGACTGGTTACAGGTCTTTCAGGTCCTTCTGGATTCCCCAAAGCGTCTCCGCACTCTTGGTCAGCTTGGCCACCTCATCGTCCGTCAGAGTCGTGTTGATGACACTGCTCACCCCTCCATTGTTAAGAACGCAAGGCAGGCTGAGGTAAACCTCATCGTTAATACCATACATGCCCTGTGAGGCCAGAAAGGGACAGTTACTCCACAGAAACAGCCCAAATACCTGCCTGGCCACTGCTGCCATTTTCACCTACACATCCAGGAGGTCACAGAGGAAGTTTCGGGCACTGGATGGAAGACTCACTTGTTTAAACTAGGTTAGAACCTTAAACCAAGGCAAAAGAATTATAGTCCAGTTAAAACAGGAAACCGTCTCTCCCCCCCCCCCCCATCTTAAAGAAATTGAAAGTAGAACAAAGTCAGAGCCCTTGGCTCTACTTAACATTCTTAAAAATCAGTGCTCCAATATCACAGCGACCTACTGTAAGTGCAGTCTATAGTACTCGGCTTCAGGAGAACAGACTGGATGGTTCGATGAACCCAAACTGGCAAGGATCTTACCTTCACCATGGTCGAGACAGGGTGAATCCTGCTGAGGTTCTTGACAATGGACTCGGTGAGATCAGCCACACTAAGGCCAATAGCCCAGTTTGTGTATCCCTTCAGCTTAATAACCTCATAGGCACTGCAACAAGAAAACTACTTCAATAGAGTGGAAGTAGACAGTTACCAATCTAGGTTAGAGGCTTCTTTCCAGTAAGCAAGTGGTAAGGTACAAGGCTTTCTTTTACACAAGGTTGATGAGCTGTAGATTAAAAGGGTCTTTTAGACAAGATTAACGGACACTCCAGGTCAGAAGATCTAGATCTTATGAGTGTGAGAGAAGTCCCACCCTCCATTTTACATGACGGCTTAAACTGTACCTGTCCACCACCAATTTGTGCATTTCCTTCCAACCCTCCGGGTCCTTGTCTGAGCCAATATCAGGATTCAGCTTCTGAAGATTAACTCCTGCCACATTGGCACCACTCCACACAGGGACTGTGAAGAGAAGAGTGCAATATTCTGAGTACACAAAAATACATGGCTAAAAATGGATACTGAAACCCAGACAAGGGAACATATTCTGCTACTAGGTTGCATAAACTGCTTAGTTTTACTCAAAGTGATTCACTCAAAACAAAATGCTTTTTAACCAAGAAACCATTACCAAAACACTGGAGTCAAGTGGCACTGCTTGAATGAGTGCACTCTGGTCTCAGATCAGAAAATCAAAAAGGCTTTATTAAAGCTGAACCAACTTCTCACACTGGCACAGAAGACGCAGCTGGGAGTTTCAGGACAATTGGCACAGATGTACCATCTGCTAGTGCCTTTTTTCAAATCATGACCATAGAAGAATTCAGTGGAGTTGGATTGTACCTCTCAATACTGTACAGTGGCTCACTGCTCCCTCCCAGTGAGGATTCTTGGGGTAAAGATGTACATCAACCAAAACCACTAGACAGGTTCTATTTTACCAGATTTGTTTTAATGCACTACTCCGCACTCCAGGTCAAAAACAAAAGTTGCGGGCTATCACGATCATTAAAGAAATTCCTGCTCTCTCCCCCAAAAACAATTTAAGGACACCAAACACTGTAGTCAGGTCTCGCTATACCTGAAGCGGCCATCTTCGCAGCACCTGAATTTCTTCTACTGGGCAAGTCAATCCATTGATTTTAGCAAATGAGCAGTCCTTCACTGAGATCCATGAAAACTAGGATACAACTGGGCTACTAGTTCCTGCACTGCATTACTAGAACAGCAGTGACCTGCTTAAGGAGTGGTGCACAGCATTCAATGCCTTCATTTTTGCCCAAGAGACTTCCCATTTCCCTGCATTGGGTGGTGCCATGCACCTCCCATGAAAGTATTCCATTAGCCGTTACTCATTACTCACCACTGGAGTCCCCATGCTCCCCCAGAACCCAGCCGTTGAAGCTGGTTGCGTGGATTCCTAGCTTCTCAGCCATGAGGTAGCGGAAACGGGCCGAGTCCAGGTTGCAGCCGCTGCCGATCACGCGGTGTTGGGGCAGACCGCTCAGCTTCCAGGTCACATAGGTCAGGATGTCCACTGCAGGACAGGAAGACTCCCGATCAGAGACTCGCCAGGAGATCAAACCAAGACTGTAGCCAGACCTTACAAGGGTCTCAAACTCATGTTGCCTTTTCCCTTAAAAAGAGGTCCCATGTGAAGACCTTCGTTAAGTGGAGCTAAACTTGATCCCTGCCTCCTCACCTGGGTTGGACACCACAATCAGGATGCAGTTCGGGCTGTACTTGACTATCTGTGGGATGATGTGCTTGAAGATGTTGACGTTCCTCTGCACCAGGTTCAAGCGGCTCTCCCCCTCCTGCTGACGGACACCCGCGGTCACCACCACGATGCGCGAGTTGGCAGTTACTGCGTAGTCTGGTCAGACAGAGCCAGAAAGTTTTCCCCATGAGTCAACTACAAGTATGATTAACCCACAGCTTGGACAAACTCTTAAAAGAGTAGAAGAGCCAGGTATAATGGGTTAAGACTGAATAAGTCACCTTTATCTGCTACAATCTTGGGTGTCTTGAGGAAGAGGCTCCCATGAAGAAGGTCCATCATCTCTCCCTTAAGCTTGTCCTCTATCACATCTACAAGGGCCATCTCATCAGCCAGGTCCTGAACAGAATGAATAGAAGAAATATCCCTTCAACAAGTGGTTTACAGAACTTAGTGCATTAGGCTTTGACATTACTGCTTACTTAAAAATAGTAAGTCAATTTATGCACAAACTTCCTAATCATACTGTACATTGTCCCAGGCTGATTTTTCAGGGGTGCAGTGCAATATGTTCATATTAACATTTAAAGAGAAATACTCCTGCCCTGTTGGAGCAAAACCCTAAAGCCCCAAGTCACATCTTACCTTCAGGAGAATGCTGACAGCACAGGCCATGCCCACCTGGCCAACGCCCACCACTGTGACCTTGTTCCTCGGGCCTTCTGAGCTTGCGCCCGCAACTGGAGTGATCAGTTTCTCTTGTAATGTGGCCATTGCTCACTGAAACGCAGACAGCAGGCAGAGTAAGATGAATATCAAAACTACTGCAATACACCAGGGCAGTCTCCAAGTGGGCAGCTTGTTCCAGCGAACAAGAGCTTTCAGGAAAGTGGTCTTCTGAAGATTGAGAATCTAAAGGAAGCTAAAGGAATGGGTTCAACACCTTTTAAATACGTGTAAAGTGCAATATTAAGTCCTTACTCTGCTCAGTAAGGAAAGGACCTTTTACAGATGTCATTTTCAGATTTACCTTGGAAATTAGGCAAGCAGTGAGGTTTCACAATACTTCAACTATTTATTCTGTTCCTAGAGGAATCTTATTCCAACTCTAGTGACCATTAAATGGGTCTTAAACTATTCAAGATTTCAACTTGAGTTCCCCCCCTCATCTTAGTCTTTTCAAGCTCAGAGCACCCCATTTTTGATCTGGCTTTGTTACCTGCTTAACAAGTAACATTTCATGTAGGTTACATTTGCCCAATCCTGAAAGCAGAAGTTCATTGATCCTGCCATTTGGGAAAATCTTAACTTTAAACCCCAGGTGGCTCTCTTCACAAAGGTAAAAAGAGAACTGGTCTTTTACCATGACTTGGCCAAGACCAATCAAGACTTAAACATGGTACAAGAAACAAAGCAACTTAATTCTAGCACATGACCTTGACCTGAATTAAGATGGATCACTTTATTGGCCATATACAATTTCTTGTATTAGGAATTTGTCATTTCACATACCCCAGCTTGCTCTCCATGAGACACACAGACAGGGAGAGAAGCTTGGGGGGTCAGAATGCAGGGTCAGCCATTTATATGGTGCCTCTGGAGGAGTTGAGGGCCTTGCTCAGGGGCCCAACAGAGTAGGATTCCTCTGCCAGCCACGGGAAGCAAACCGGCAACCTTCCAGCCACAGGCACAGAGCCACGCACCACTTACAGCTTTCCCGACTATTGTGACACATTATAAAACAGATGAGCAAAGACTGTCAAATTGACTTGGTGCCAGAAAAACAGCTTTGAATCAAATCTATTTTAAACAGTTTTAAGTTTTTCTCCATGCAAATAAGAACATTGGTATTCTCAAAACCGTGCTGTAGAGGAGATTAAAAGGGTTTACTCTATACCATTGCTTAAAATAGCAGACATTCTTTCCATCACGAAGGATGTGAAGTCAGTACACCACATGCTGAACCAGAGGCTGGGGTTCAAGCCCACACTCATGTGCAGGAATCCCAGACAATTAGCACTAGTCTCTTTCCACACAAATTGTGGAGATTTAGGTGCTACACATTAGGCAAAAAGGGTTTCTTTAAAAATCAACATGCCAACCAATTTCTATACCTCACGTTTCACACATTCTCCCACACAAGCTGCTGTGCTGCATTTTTGACCATTCTGATCTACAGTATGTGAATTAAAGACTACTTAACATCAAGCCTGGTTTCTTCAGCCAAACTGAAGTTGTCAGTTTTAAGTCTTAATTCATAGATGCTTTGTTTAGATTTTGGCATTGCTATAGTGAGCTCTGAATAAATAAAAAGCCATAACATGCAAGTAAGGTGAAGCATTTTGTAGCTGGAGGTCAATGATGCATAACTGGTGTCATTACCAGGTTACTTGGATAATAAAGATAACTAAGCTCTGAACATCCCTGAGCACAGCCGAGCTGCAAGCACTTTAATGGCACAGAAAACACAACTAAAGCCCACGTGTTCTTGCAAGAAGAATGACTGAAGAACCTTCTAGACTGTTCTAGTTCACACTCCTACATACCAGAACATACAATCATGGGCCATTTCAAAAGCACGGCATAATAGATTCCAAGGGAAAAGGTGTACTTACAGTAGGCCAAGTGGCCCGACTAAACAGTTGAAAGACCCCAATAATTACAGCTACAACAAATTACAGACATAAATGCAAGGTTGTTCTGCATTTCAAGGGCATTTAGAGACCATAATACATTTTAAATAGATTACTAAAGCAAAAGAACTGGGCACATAAACCCTGCACAGGGGATGTTGATTCCGAAGGTCGACCTAATCCGCCCCCCTTTTGGGTACAAAACTGCTTTAACGGCTACACTGTTCATGCAACAAGCGTTTCTTTCGATTTAAAGCAACATACCAGCCGATGACTTTACCTAATGCGGCCTTATTCAACCAAAAAGTAAGCTGCACTACAAAGGATCTACCCGAGAATAGGTCTCCGACTATTACATGAATTTACATGGCTATATGAAAGATGCTCTTGAAAGAAATGTCCTTGATTCGTCCTTCACAGAGCGAACACTTAATCACAAGCCGACCTTATTAGCAATTCTGCAAAGCTCGCATTGTCCTTTCAGGCCACAATCCTTCTTTCACTCTTGGCCTTGAAATCGTGCCACTCAGAAAATGAAGCCACACCTTCTGCGAGATGCGGGTTATGCAAGCTCACTCAGAACAGCTGCGTTTAAACTCAAATAAATAAAATGTAGCCGCTACACGGTTATCAAAAAAAAATGTGACTGTCGAGGTAGAAGTTGGAAGCCCCCCTCTGAATTCTTCTAGAAAAATTGCCACGTTTACTACTGTTGCGATTCAATTATACGGTCATTAAATACCACATGGAGAAGTCATCTGTGAAGATCACCCGCGTGCAACTCACACGCATTCCATCATCATCATCATCATCCAGCACTTTACCGGAGACTCCGAAAGACAAACGTGCATATTCAATAAATTAAATGCGTTAAAAAAATTTAGCAACGCATTTTGAACCGCGTGTTTCCTCTGAAGAATTCAATTGAAGTTCTAAAAACATCACCACGCACTATTATTAATTTTAAGTGTTTCATAAACCCACTACCGCTTTCGTTTTAACATTTTACATATGTTATTTCAATGCATGTTAGTAACCATATCCACGTTAACCAAGAGCTCTCCGTCTGGTCTGCAATCCTACCGCCTTAAAATATAGCAACAAAAATTAAAAATGAATACATACGGGTTTCTTTTTTTTTTTTAAAAAAAGAGGTTGATCCCCGTTTTTTGAGTCCAAAAAGAAAAGTTGACAAAACGCCGAATGCACCACTTCCAAGACAATCTGCGAGCGCAGCAGCCACCGAGTTCGACTGACGGCACACTGACTGAAGCTGAAGGAGTCAGGCGACTCACAGGAAGCAGTTTAAATGAGAAGGTGGTGTAGGACACAGGGCGCCGCGGAGATCAGCTGTAAAACTTTTACACCTGCGAACCCATGAGCGGACTTGATTGAAGATTGGTCTGGTTAACTTGGAGCGGAGTCAAGTCCCTGCACGGTTAAGGACACTCGCCTCTCTGGTGTTATCGCTCACGGACTCTGAATAAAATGAAGTTGTATAAATATAGATTTTACTCTATTGAACTACAGCTAGGACGAGTTGCGAAGTGCTTTATCCGATAAATTTAGATAAAGTTCTTAGCCTTGCCGAAACAAATCCTCTGAACTCGTGCCTTAAATTATAGTCACTAATATAATTAACTTGCTAGAATGCATTTTTAAAATATTTGACTGTATATCACATCTAATGTCTGGAACTGTAAGTTTTTGTCAAGCAGAGGGATAAGTGCAGGTTATTTAGGAGGAACATTTTTCACAAAGCAATCGTTTATATAATCTATTTTAAAGCAAATCTTAATATGCTTAATACTTCCATATTAACTATCACTAAAGAGAAGAAATGGCCAAAAGATTATTTATCAAGAACATGAGGTCATTTATACAATGAACTGTGTGTACAGAATTGAATACCGAGCTGCCCTTTGAAAGCCGCTTCACTGACGTCCTTTAACAGCTAGGGTACATAAATTCTGCAATGAACAGAACACAGAAATAATTTGAGTAAGACAGTTTATGCTATAAGACTGCTAAAGAAAAGATCAGTTTAAGGCCCAAGTTATATTTTCATGGAAGGGGGAACAGAACTCACTGGAAAGGGTTCTATATTATTTTAAGAAATCAGCATAGGAATGCTGTGCTTTGATCCGACGAGGCATTGTAATGGTTAAATGTTTTTATTAATAAAAGCTTTAGAAAACGCGGCCCTTTAGTTCTACTGCTGTTAATAGGACTTAGAAACAGCACCTTAGCTCTTGATTCACAGAACAACAGGTACACTACCCTTCAGTTTAAATGCAAGGCCACCTTCTTACAGATTTCACCTTCAAAGAGTTGCGAGTTTACATGCATTTGATTTCAGTTTATGCTTCCTGTTGCTCCCATGACTAAAATAACTGTGTGCAGTCATCCATTTTGTCAGACATAACAGGGTCATGCTGGAACAAAGTGCAATACAAACAAACTCTCAAACAGGTATTGTTGCTAATGCCAGCCATTAGAAAGACAGTAAAAAGTCTTAATAGGAAAGGAGGAAGACGTTAATAAACTCTGTAGAACAATGGGACTTGCCTTGTTCTATTATTAAATTAAATGGTCCTAAGACAAAATAAGTATGTATTTCGTGCTTTTTAGGGCATTTTAACATTCGAGACCCTTTAACATTCAGTCAGCATTTCTTTCTAGGAGTCTCTCTTACTGTACTGTATATTTTAGCGAGTAGGAATTGACATACAGTATTATTAAATCTTAAATTGCACCTAATGGATGAATAAAGTATTTTGAATTGATTTGATTAGCTATTTTTGATTTGTTTATATAATACTGTGATTATAAAAATATCAATCTCGCTCAAAAACAAAATATCTGAAATCACTCTTATCCAGAAAGGATTACTAATATTGCCTGCCTTGCAGACATGCAGTCCTTGTTGTTCTTATTGTAAAAAGGTTGTTCTTTTTAAAATGCAACTTTGCACCTAAGATGAGATCAGGATGTGTACTTCTTATAAAGCAGAACTACCTGCACCAGAAGGCACCAGGTGACACACTTCCATTCCAAGACATCCTGACAAGTCCTTGAAGATTCTAGCCTGACCAGGAAGCAAGGTACCCTCCCACTCAGCTAGCCAATAGTATTTCTTTTGAGAATATTGAGCAATAAAAATGCCTGCATATGAGGTCATGGTTCAGAGATTTCATGCCATATGGCTTATATTTAGCATTTTTAATAACTCAATAAAGTCATTATGGAGTTAAGGCATATTGAATTTTATCTGTGAGTTATGTACAGTATGTAAACACAGACACAAACTAGAGTATGAGTGTTTATATAAAACCTATGGGTTTTTTTTTGCAATATGCAGATAACTCTGTTGTTGCTGATCTGGAGAAGTGCACAGTGAAAAACACAAGCGATTTTTTTTTTCTTGCAAGCTGGAGAAGCAGTTCAAGTTAGTTATTAAGCACCAAGATTAAAAGCTACAGATTAACAGGCTGAAAGGATTTTAATTTTAATTAAAAGATCATTTTCTGGGATTAATAGAAAAATGCCAGAGTACATTAGTTAAACTGAAGGTACTGTACAGTAAGAGCAAATTATCACTCATCCTAAAGATAACTGGGGGCCCGCAATCCAGCGCTGATAGTAAAAAACTTCTACGTAGTGTGGGATCGCTAACCCTAACCCTAGCTAGGGTTTAAAATAGCCCATTCCAGCAGGGTGTCTCAGAAGCCCTCCAATCATCCGATTTGAAATTTAACCTCAAACC